TACGAGGGCAGTGCAGCATGAAGAGGTTGCCGAGAGAGGTCGTGTAATTTCTGCCCTTGCCAATTTTCAAGCTTTAGCTACACAAATCCCCGGCTGACCTGAGTACTAGTGCCAGTCCTGCTGGAAGCAGGAGGATGGACTACGTCTCCAGAGGACCTTGCGAACAGCATTTCTGCGACCTACTGAGAGACAGAGACTCTGCAAAACCCAAGGCAGAAAAAGCCCAGTGTGGTGCAGAGGACCACCCACACAATAACGTCCCCGTTTGCTTTCAGGAATTCATTCCCTCTGATGTAGTGCTCGCAGGCTGGGCTGGAGGCCCCGCAGCACCCCAGGTGCTCCAACAGCAGCAGGGAGCACGAAGCAGAGAAGACAAAGCACGAACAATATGGAGGTACCAGGCTTTGGGCACATAGCTCCGCTGCTCACAACCTGCACGCAACACTGCATGTGGACTTGCCTCTGCTAGCTCAGTTATTTCTAAATCTTGTTTCTCAGCATGATGTGAGCAAACCCCAAGTGTCATTTATTTCAGAAAAAAAAATTCTACAGTAAATCCCTCCACGAGGCTTACTCATTTCCTCTCACCCATCTTGCTACCTTCTTACCACAAAGACAAAGGTCCTTTTATAATACAAGAGCTTATCTTACCTACTTGCTCAACAGCCCCACAGAGCTGAAAGTTCAGCAGAAACTAAAGAAGAGAATTGACCCTTTCTTGCAGCTCTCGCCTTGTAAACAATCACTGGTATTTTAACCATGCAGTTATGTCCAGGGAGATCTTCAGGACTATTCTGGGCCTTTTAATTTTGCAGTTCTATTGGGCATCAGCACCATTTCAGAACTCATGCTCTATCACTGCTCCTCGCCAGCACAGACCTCCCCACGTCTGAGGCAAATAAGCTTTTGTTAGAACTTGGGGGAAAACCTCCAGAGCACAGAGTGGCGGAAGAGTTAACCTAGGCTAATGTGACATAAATGAGGGCTACGCTCAGACCAGAAAACACATACTTGCATTTTTATGCCACATTAGTTACCAGAGGTGTCCTAGTAAGCACCCACCTGATCCTAGCTGAGGGAGAATTAACACTGAGAAAAACGAGTACCCTTTCAATCCTTGTATGCTAACTCGGCAGCAGATCCTCAAATCATTAGTGTAAATTGTATCTGCCCTTGACTACCAAGTCATAAAAATTTTTTGAGCATGAAAAACTTTGACAGAAAAATTCGCTGAGCTGTCTTACCCATAGTTTTGATCTCAGTAACTTCTAGGACCAAAATTACTCTTGCAGATCAAAGATTGTCTACTAAACCAGAAAAGAGAACAAAAAACTTGCTCTGAAGTAACACTTGTAGATCAAGTCACCTGCATTACTAGTTTTTTTACATTTGCCTTTGTTTTTTCTCTTTTGATGTTGACAATGTGTTAAGCATTTAGCATGGTTTTTAAGCTGCAGCTGAGTTTACACAGCAACTGATTCATTGCTGAATCTTCCTGCTGCTCCCAGTACTGGCAGAAAGACAAACTAAGGCACAGCCACATCCAGAATAATTACTGGCCAAGTCCCAATTTCAGCCCATTCCCTGCATCGGAGGAATTCCCTACAGGAGCGGGCTGCTGGACTGGAGGAGACAGCTCCTGCCCGGTCACCGAGCAAAGGAGAAAAGCTGCACAAAACTCATCGCTAATCTGCTATTAAAACAGACGCCCCCTCCTGCCCCCTCCACTTACACGGGGTGGCTTTGTCTAGGATGAGGTGAACTGGGCATGAGGGAGGCAGGCGCTGGTCTGACTTCACCACAGCCAGTTTAACACCAGAGTTACAGAGCTGCTCTTCTGAATTTCCACTTTCCTCTCAGTGGCTTCTTCCGACATCCGGGAGCTTTCCCCATCCTCCACAGCGCTTCAGGCTGGGACGGCTCCAGCGATACTTACTCCTACCTTACTAGTCTGTAACTACTTCTTCCCCTCGGAGTCCAGCCCCTGGCAGTTAAACATCTGCAGAGGTATTCAAGTACCTGACGTCTCTAACTCAGTTTGATTTCTGGTGACTTCAGTCTGAGGCTGCACTTTTAGCAAGCGCTGGCCTAGTTTTCCAAAAGGTCATGAACAAGAAAGCCTCTGAATCTTAAAAGATGATATCATCACCTATTTCTGTTAAAAACATTGGTCAAGAGTGTTGTAAGAGATTAAAAAAACCCCCGACCACCTAGTGGCTGACACCATGAAGAAGAAATGTTGGGTTTTTTTTTATGGACTGCACAAGGCATTGCCAGAACATTGGTTTAATTCATTCCACTGTCAGAAAAATTGGGCAGAATTTCTAAAAATGTCTTTGCTGATCAAGAATTACTCTGCAGTGGGCACCGAAAGGAACTTCTTTACAGGTGCCACTTACACTGAGCTCCTACACGCACACACCGGCATGGCTGGGTACTCCTCACGCAGCATGGGAGCAGTGCAGCACGCTAGAAGGGCCAGCTCATGACGGCAGAGCAGAGGTTTGGGAACAGGGATCTCGTAAGGTGCCCCAGAACAAAAGCCAGGCCCTTACGTCCCACAGGTAAGAGTCCATTTACTCTCGGAGTGCCCAGGACACAGCTCCTCGCCAACAGCAGGCACGTCAGGGAAGCACCTCCACTTCCACTGTGTGTATCCTTATGACTGTTACCAGCAAAGGCAGAAACAACTGGAGTGTTTTTTTTAAGTGGGAGCTTCCTCCCACAACACCCAGCACAGACCTGCCTTCACTCTGCAGCTGAGCATGCGTGGCTGTCACGCATGCAAGGCGAGAGGTCAGCAGCTCCAGCAGCCAGGGCTGCAAGGGGAGCACCGCCGGCCACAACATTACTGCTGCGCTGACACCACACACCCCGTTTCTGCTGCTGCCCAACCAGCTCCAAGGCTCCCCAGGTCTGTACTCCGTTAGGAAAGAAACCCCAAGACACACAGGAGCCCCAACCCGTGTCATGCATCAGTAGCGCCTGCACCAGCGCTGGTGGCAGTGCGGCTGAACACCAGTACTTTCCCTCACGTCAACAAGCCCTCCTAAGCCGTGAGAAGTTACCCAACGCAACAGCTGGCTCGGCCCTCAGTGCTGACATACCCCTGTGCTGTCCTCACCTCGTTGGAGCCATCAGCTAAGTTTTCTATTGTCTTTTTTAAACGCAAACTGCAAAAGCTTTTTTTTTTTTTTCTGAAGTATTTGTGGTTTTCTAGGTAATGGCTTTTCTATACAAGCCATTTTCATGCAGCAAAATAAATCCCTTCTCCAGGAATAATCAGAGCAAAGATAAATTGAGGGAGCATCCCTCTGCCCCTTGGAGGTGGACCCAGGCTGGGTGACCGTACAGCCCTCTGCCCGTGCTGGTCTCTGCTCTGCTGGGACAAAGAGCAGGAAGCAGTCAGACTTTCCTCTCCCCTTTCCAAACTACACGTGGTGCCCCAGGGGTGCTGATGCTGAAGCTTTTTTGAATGCTAACCTCAGGGGACAGGCAGCACAAGTATGGCTGCACTTACCAAAACAGCTTTTCTCACACAGGAGTAGGTTTAGTAGACCAGGTACTCCTCTTTCAGGTGTAAGGCAGTGTGTGGGCGTTTGTTTTTTTTTTTTAAAAAACACCATACATTGAAGCATTGAAAACAAAACATCCCAGACTTTTGAATTAAAATACAAGCTTTACGACCGCATAGTAAGTGTAGGCTCTTATATTTCAGTTTAAGACTATATCATTTTATAGAGTACCAAAATAAGCAAAGGATCAGCACTCCATACAAAGGGTTAGTTCTTGTGAGGAGGTAGAAGGGAGATGGACTTTAATTACACTAAACTTTTTTTGCAAGTCTGAAGAAAATTCCATTTCATCAAAACAGGTTTGTATTTAGATTCCCCACATTTCTAGTTCATTAAATAGTGTTTCTTTAAAGACAATTTACATTTTCTCATTCAAAGTAAAGGGATGACTTAAAGCAGTACTAACAAGGAGGTGGTGCTGTTAATGTTTAATGTCAATATGCAATGTCACCTGCTATAAAGGCTAGAAGAGCAACACAACTTCACCTTTACGTCTCAAGACTGTTAGAAACCCACTCACAGCTGAGGAGTTTCAAGCACACTACACCGACTCTAGGTCCAGGCTGCGTACCCCTGCTAGTACATGTGCTGCCGTGAGGAATGCAGCAGGCAAACCCCAGCGCCCAGGCGCTGGCCGGGACATGTGTTTTCACACGTATGCCAGAGTTCGACTGGC